ATATAAGGTATGTTATAAATATATTTGACATCACCAAGAGTTGTGCCTATGAATTAATGCTACATAGGTTGTATAACCCTGTGGAAAACAGTTAAAGAACCAAAATAAACCAAATAAAACTATAAATAATACAACATTGTTTTTTTAAATGTGTGATCATAAGGAAATTGTTTGACACAAAGTAAGCAAAACTGGTGCTTATTGCATGGATATAACTTCTGCTACAGGCGTGAGATATGGTGATGAAACTATTTTTATCACATTCTGAAATGCAGTCACTGCTGCCAGAGTATCTTTAACATAAAAGCAAATTAAGCTTAACAGATTTTGAAACTGTACTCTTGATGCTATGCACTGAGAGAATACTCTGTAAATCAGTTTATTTTCCATGTAGTGGACAAATCCAGTCAGTGTAATTCACAGAATCACAGAATGGTAGAGGTTGGAAGGGACCTCTGGAGATTATTTAGTCCAACCACCCCTGCCAAAGAAGGTTCATCTAGAGCAGGTTGCACAGGATCGCATCCAAGCAGGTTTTGAATATCTCCAGAGAAGGAGATTCCAGCACCTCTCTTGGCAGCCTGTTCCAGTGCTCCCTCACAGGAAAGAAGCTTTTCCTCATTTTGCGATGGAGCTTCCTGTATTCCTTACTGTGCCTGTTGCCCCTTGTCCTGACACAGGGCATCACTGGAAAGAGCCAGGCCTTATCCTCTTGACATATGTTCTTTAGATATTTACAAAGCATTGATCCCTTTTCAGTCCTTTCTTCTCCAGGCTAAACAGACTCACACCCCTCAGCCTTTCCTCTTAAAGAGAGATGCTCCAATCCCCTCATCAGCTTCACAGCCCTCCAGCGGACTCTCTCCAGCCCTTGTCTCTCTCGAACTGGGGAGCCCAGAACTGGACACAGTACTCCAGACACAGCCTCACTGGGGCAGAGATGATGGTGAGAAGAACCTGCCTTGACCTGCTGGTCATACTCTTCTTATGCATCCCAGGATACCACTGGGTTTCTTGGTCACAAGAGCACACTACTGGCTTACGGTTAACTTGTTGTCCACCAGGACTCCTACGCTCTTTTCCATAGTGGTTCTTTCCAGCAGGTCAACCTCTAGCCTGTACTGGTGTGTAGGGTTATTGCTTCCTAGGTGCAGGACCCTACACTTGCCCTTGTTGGACTTCATTAGGTTCCTCTCCACCTAACTCTCTAGCCTGCCTAGGTCTCACTGAGGGTGCACACCATCCCTTCATACAGGTCATTGATGAAGATGTTGAGCAAGACTGGACCCAGTACAGACCCTTGGGGAACACCACTAGCAACAGGCCTCCAGCTAGACTCTGTATTGCTAATCACAACCATCTGAGACTGCCATTCAGCCAGGTCCCAATCCATCTCACTGTCCTGTCATCTAACTCACACTTCCTGAGCTTCCCTGTGAGGATGTTACGGAAGACAGTGTAAAAAGCCATGCTGAAGTTGAGGTAGACAACATCCACTGATCTCCCATCATCTACCCAGACAGTCACACTTGATAATTCCATGCTGACCACTCCCACTGACTTTCTTTTCCTCCACATGCTGAGAGATGACCTCCAGAATGAGCTGTTCTATCACCTTTCCAGTGATGGAGGTGTGGCTGACTGGCCTGTAGTTTCCTGGGTTCTCTTTCTTGTCCTTTCTGAAGACTGGAGTGATATGGACTTTCCTACAGCCCTCAGGCACCCCTCCTTTTCTCCATGAACTTTTCAAAGTTGGTGGAGAGTGGCTTAGCAGTAAGGTTAGCCAGCTCTCTCAGCGCTCAGAGCTGCAACCCACTGGGGCCGGTGGATCTGTGGGTATCCTGTTTGTCTAAATAATTCCTAACTCAATCCTCAAGCAAAGACAAATCTTCCTGTCTTGCCTGAAGGGTCTGGGATTCCTGAGGGCTGGCCTTAGCAATAAAGACTAAAGCAAAGGCGGCATTCAGTAACTCGGTATCCTCCATCACAAGGGCACTCACCTCATTCAGCAGCAGACCCATGTTTTCCCTGGTCTTCCTTTTGCAACTGATATGCTTGAAGCAGCTCTTATTGTCCTTGACACCCCTTGCCAGATTTAATTCCAAGAGGGCCTTAGTCTTCCTGACTGCATCCCTGCATACTCTGGGAACATCCTTATAGTCCTCCCAGCTGGCCAGTCCCTTTTACCACATGCTGTAAACTTCCTTCTTCCAACCAAGCTCTTTCAGAAACTCCTTGCTCATCCATGCAGGTCTCCTACCTCCTTTGCCTGGTTTCTCGCTCCTAGAGATGCACCAATCTTGAGCTTGGAAAAAGTGGTGCTTGAATATTAACCATCTCTCTTGGGCCTCCCTGCTGTCTAAAGCCCTAATCCATGGGATTACTCTAAGTAGGTCTTTGAAAAGATCAAAGTTAGCTCTCCTTAAATCCAGGGTTGCAATCCTTCTTACTGCCCTGCTTCTTCCATGCAGGATCCCAAATCCACCACCTCATGATCACTACAGCCAAGGTTGCCCCCAGCGTTCACACCCCTAACCGCACCTTATTTGTCAAGACAAGGTCCAGCAGCACACCTCTCCTTGTTGGCTCCCCCACCACCTGTGTCAGAAAGTTTGAAAGAGTTCAGTACATTCCAGTTGTTGTCTCACATGAACAGCAGCTTCACCACCTCACCTGGCTGGTCTGTCCTTCCCAAAAAACTATGTATCCATCAATGACAGCATCCCAGTCACGAGACCTACCTCCAGTTCCTCCTGTTTATCCCCGCCGCTGTGTACATTCCTGTCCAGGTGGTTCAGGGAGAGGAGCGAGCGAGGTTCCCCTGGAAGCGTACGTGAGGATCCACCGTAGCCATACACACCCTTGAAGTGGTTGGCTTTCTGGCTGCCATCTTGGCCTGGCTTATTCGCCTGTTGGATGCCACGGCATGAACATTGCCATCTCGGACCCCGCCCTGCTAGTCCCTCAGTTTAAAGAGTGGCTCACCGATTTGGCCAGCCTGCTGCCAAAGATACCCTTGGCCCTTCTAGACAGGTGGACTCCATCCCTCCTTAACAGGTGATAGACATCAAAGAATGCGCCATTGTCATAAAACCCAAAATCCGTCACAACAGCACCAGCCACGTAGCCAGAGGTTGATGCACATTATACACCTATTTCTGGCTGCTCTCCTTCCTTCAGCTCATGAAATGGAGGAAAGGAGAATTCGGGACCACTCATACCAAGGGCATCTGCAGGTTTTCCTTGGTAACAGAGCAGCCATGAGGAGGAATACTGGTGGTGTTTCTCCATGGGAGCCAATCTGGAATGCAATGGCCAAAGATAGCTTAATTTTCTGCATGTAATAGCAAAATCAAAGTGCCTTTTTTTCCAGAAGACATGTGTTCGCTGTGAGAATATTGGATCTTGCAATATCCCATAAAGACTTGAATTTAAAGGTTAGTTCTAGAAACTCGGAACTGTAAGATCAGGATCTTTTGCTGTTAACAACTACATTACAAGTGGCTGAAGAGTAGTTGTGTGTGCCAGAAGTAGAACAGTGCAACAGCTCAATTAAGGAAAATGGTTTTAGTGCACTTTGCTTACTTTACCCAACGTACTACTGCCCATTTTGCATACAAAGTGGACTCAAGGATTTTCACGGTAAGAAAGAAATTACTTGGCAAGAAAAGTACTGTGTCAAGTTGCCCTTTTCCTCCTTATACAGTTGGAGTTTTTAAGACAGAAGCTTTGCAAGATGTTACACAATTCTTTGCTTTTATTATTAAATGCGAAAGTCTGATTTGTTACATTGTCACATTGCTAGTCAAAAATGCTTCAGTGATAAAAGTAAATACTGGGTCCACCAAAGACTTCATTCTACATTTGTTTAAAAAGAAATGACAGTAATGTTGAACAAACCCAACACAACATTTGTTGCTTTCTTCAGAGATAACTCCCATCATTCTTATGATGGGAGCTATCTTACAATGGGTACGTTACTACACAAATTAAAACTTTTATTTGGACAACATATCCCCAAATTTTTGAGACATCAGAACAGGCTTCTGCAGATGACAAGAGATCTTCACACATCATCATCATCTGATGTATCACTGCTGCTCGTCTCAGAATCCTCATTCTCCAAAGGAGGTTTGAAAGTGCTGTTTTTCCAGGGGTTAAATTTAAAATCACGTATGAGGCCATTTTTCAAAATGCCATTTTTTCGAAGGCCATTTTTTTTAAACTGAAATGACAAAAAAAGGCATATCAAGAGAAAGAAGCAGCTAAACACAACAATCTGTTGCATTCCAACATTCTCTACATCTTCAATCTTCATCTCTGGGCTATATTAGAAGAACAGCAGTACCTTATCATATATACATGCACACAAAGGAAAACTCCCCTGAAAGCCTTCGCTTCCGGGCCAGCCAGCTGCATCCAAGCACCTGCAATGGTGCTCAGGTCCTGCAGCCAGCGAGAGCTTACCCTCTTCCCATCCGCTTCCTCAGACACCCAGCCCCAGCGACCCCCCCCTTCCCCCACCGTCTCTCCTGCAAGGCAGTCCCTTTTCCACAGCACTACAGACATCTGTGGTGAGGGCGGGGTCTGCAATAAGGAAGGGGCCCAGAGGAGGTGAAGCAGCAGGAAGGAATGATTGTCCCAACCCGTCTACCTGATGCGGCTGGAGAGTCAAAGACACTGGAGAGAAAGGAAACAACTGATTCTACAACAAGAAATTAATTACTGCGTTTCCACACGTAGTGCAGAAGAGCTGGGCAGCAAGCCAAGCATTTAACAGCTAACTATTCCAACGCGCCCTAATTAATACGTATGTGGCAGATTAATGGAAATACCAAACATTCCAATTGAACACTGCACAAGATTCTCCCTTCCAGTCCGTCCTCACTGACTCCCGCCGGGTGTATACACCCCTAATTTACAAAAAAAGTGAGTCTGGGTTGCCTTTTTGGACTTTCTTACTAGTGTCTCACTTGGCAACAGAGAAAATTCAGATTTTATAGAACCAAAGAAACTACATAAAAATTGTGAAAGAAAATTCCCTTTCCTCAGGCTAACCTAGGGAGATGGAAAGCTCGTGTAATTCTACTACCAGCAGTGCTGAAATAACGCAGAAGCACTCCCTAATATTTTGAGAATAGGCCTTACCTACTCCCAGAGGCTAGTGGTCTTCTGTCTTTTTAAAGCAATGATTCTTCCAAAGGCACAATACTGAAATGGACTGAAACAGCAACACCCCTAACTATCAAAATTACTGCAGACCCTCCTCAAAAGCAGGCTTTCAGGGTAGCCAATTACAAGTTCATAATGGAACATTAACTTGGAGTTACCTGTTCAGTAATGACTTGGAACTCTCTCATCTCTTCCTCTGTTAGTGGAGCATATGCTTCATCATTTTCATTGTCTTCCTGCCAGCCCATCTCCTTTAACAACCTTTAAATTAAAAAGGACAGCATTAAGGAGTTAGCTACGCACACTCAGACGTTCCAAGTTCTGCCTACATGTATGTGAGAAGATTGGTAACAAACGGATTAATGAGTCCATCATTTTTTTGAAACAAGCACTTACATAAAAGTAGGTTAAAAGCCTTACAGAAGATGCACAAAGCGTACAAGTTAAAACATTCTCAGGTCCTTCACAGACGACACTGCCTTACTGCTACATGTGGTAAAACACACATCTTCTTTTTAAGGCAAGAAATCTGTGTCAGATGGAAAATCAGAATGTGTTTCCTTTGCACAGCTGCTCTGGCGGAGCAGTGGCGTACCCCCTTGAAAGCAGTATGAAGACACAAAGACTCACACTGAAGGAATCTGCAGGTTTTCCTGGATAACAGAGCATCCACAAGGAATACTAGAGGGTGTTGTCCCTGCAGGTGAACTAATTCAGGATGCAACAGCCTCACGTATCTTTTCCTTTTTCAAGGACATGCCATTGTCAGAGCCAGGACAGGCTTCTTTGCAATTGAGCCTCACCCAGCAGCAGATGCTGATATTTCAGTACAGACAGACGCCACACAGGAGTCAGCCTTGGGATGAGGGGAGGAAAAGTAACAAGAGACAGATTCTTCTCATGACGAAGCTTGAGAAATCCAAAGACGCAACAATCAACCTGGTTTAGCTAGTGTCAGAAGTATGACAACACCATCAGTACAGGAAGAAAGTGGTTTTACATATGAAGATGCTGTGGGAATGGGGATCATCCAAGAGTGAAGACACTGTGATGTTTAAAAATTAAGGTAAGTAAGTTCTCTTACTACAAAGTTTTTGCCAAAAGGATTAGTACTTTCTACAGGCAAACCACACACCTGTTGACCTTAAATGTTAAAGGAGGTTAAAGCTATTTCACAAAAAATAAAGTGGTTTCTAAAGCAAATGCCAGAACTGACAGAAGAATCTGACACACAGAGCTGAAGAAGGGTGAATATATTAAAACACAGAGTAAGACAAACTCACAGTCGATGTCATGTGTCAGGTACTTCATTTAGCACGATGTCAGAAAAAAAAAAATGCCCTTCAATGTAACCTTCCCCACAAAAAACTCTAGGTCCCAACACTATGGATGTGCACTGAGCAACCTTGCAAGTGACCAGTGACAGCTGTGACTGTTGTTAAAACCATAATAAAAGACTGGAATTGCAGATAGAGAAGAGGAGAACAGTGCTACTGTAACAGCACAGTAAAAGAAATAGAAATTACATCCTCTGCAATATTTAGACCGAATCAGACAATGTGACAGCCAGGAACAATTAAATCTGCACGAAGCAGCAGAAATAATATGCAAGTCATCAAACACTCTCTTCTAAGAGAATATATGCATTTGTATAGACATACAGAAAAAGACTGGTGATGTTAAATACAGTTCAATGATAGTTACAGTTTTGGCAACAGTAATTTGAGTTAGAAAGCTTTACTACAAAAAAATCTAAGATGTTAAGAATATTATGTACAATCAGGTGGATAGTTACAGAGCTCCTGTTAATGTAAATAAAGTTTAGGGCAATGGCTAATTAACTTTTAAGCAACATTATCCAAAGGTAGCAGTACCACTGTCCCTCTGAAGTGACACTAGGCTCCTAGAATGAACTTTGTAAAAAAATTTATCTTCAGATTAGCAAACTTGAGACCAACAAGACGGCTGCATGTTGGAAACTTCTCCAGAAGAAAGCCAAAGATGTATTTTTTACAAGGTGTGCCAATACTATTACAACATATGTGCAAGTACTGTGTGAATTAATATGGCCACTTAAGTAAAAATTACAAAAAAAGGGTTACCATAACCACCTGTCTACGTGCACACAGGTTACAGGAAAAGGGCTGGGACAGCATGGAGACACAGCCCCTCTGAGGCACCACAAAGTTAAGACACTTGCCTAGAAACCCTATGAAGGGCATTCAAAGTAATCTGAATTGAAAAATCAAGTTAGATTTTACTCACATCTTAAAGTTAAAAAACGATCAGCAGCATCTAGTGGCCAAAGTAAAAAAATGATCAGCAGCCTCTAGTGGCCAAAGATTTCTGTCTCCATAGCCAATGGTGGGAAAGACTGAGCAGAGCAGGCTGTATTTCACTTCTCATACCCATGACAGATAAGAGGTCATTAAAGCTTCCACTGCAGGTACTACAAAAGGCAAAGTTCTCCAGTCCAGTGTGTATGTATAATCTGTCACTAAAACAACAACTCTAACAACAACATCAAAATCTAATCACTGCAGTTCTGTAGTTGAGGAAACAGTAAGAGTCTGGAAGAGCTTATAACAAGCTTATCTCCAGATTGAGTAATGGTTTCCCAGTAGCAGCATTCCAACCTCTACCAGTTGCTACTGCAGTTACTTTTGAGACATTAGAATTGTTTCATGCCTTTTTTGAAGTTACTTTTCTCTTTCTATTGTCTTCTGATATCTCTGACACAATTAAATCATTTAACAATAAAGAAAAACTCACTGGAGTTTTACATGAGATGTAGCATTTGAATTATTAATACAAACAGCAATTACATGTATTGTTCCTCCTAGACAAGCAGATCAAAATCAGAGGGAAAAAGCTACTATGCAGTTTATTTCTTTATAAGGAAATACATCAAACTTTTAGTAAAGTAAGTTTAAGTCAAACTTTTAGTAAGGTAAATTTAAGTCGGTACACAAATCTAGTAGAAACAAAGCATATTCCATATTAAATTAGTACATACCTAGAAGTTAAACTTTAACAGTGCTATTAAACATGTGTTCTCAGTTTTCAGATTCTGACTTCTGAAATAGTTAGAATTTATGACATGTTCACTTATCATTAAAGAACATTCTTTATATTATATAAAGCACATACCTGTGCTCTGCCTCAAGTGAGCTTGAAAGAACATCTGCCTGAGAGAAAGCTGAAGATGGAATGATCTGTTGAGATGTAACTGAATCACTGCATTTCTCCTGTGGAATTTCATTTTCAAAGTTTTGGTTTACATCTCTCTCATGATGAGGACTGTTGCTATTATATAAGTTAAAGGATTCATCATTCTGTCAAAAAAAATTATATATTACAAAGTTTAAAAGCAAATTCCAGTCACAAGTTAACATATCCAAGTGCTGCAATTCAGTGACTGTGTTTTAAGTTTAAATGCAAACACTCTTTGCTACTTTGGAGGCAATTCTGTTCATACTTCTAGAGTTTGCAATACCTGGTTACTACACAAATATTAAGTTATGTCACTAATCAAGTAATGTAGAAAGTAACTCCCAAGCTCTGCCTCAAACTTTTTTCTATGAAGTCTTAAGCATACCTTAAAATTCAAACTTAGGTAAGCTGCCTTCCATACTTGCAGAAGTAACACCTGGTATGCTGGACTTACCAACAATGTAGCTAATTAAATGTCAGAGCCACCTGTGTCAGGAGAAGTTTGAAAGTGTAACAGTTCTCAACTTTACTTTGTGTAAGGGGCAGGACAGGGCACAGCCACCATACCACAACGAGCAAATTCAACTGCCACAAGTTCAGAAGAACACTACTCTTTAAATTAAGACAACAACTTCCCCTACACACATGCATTCATCACAGCTTCTCAGGCTGTTGTTAACAGCAATGGTACTTACTAGCCATGAAATAAGAACTAGCAAGAAAGTTTACGCAGAAACCAGACTGTTCAGGTTCATTCAAATATTAAAAGGTCTTTAATCCTATAAACCAGACGTTTCATTTTACTCGTTCAGCAGCCTTGTTTAGTAACAAGCCAAACAGACTCAGAAGTCTTACCAACTGTAAAAACAATGTATCAAGTCCTGCACTTGGGCCACAACAACTCCATGCAGTGCTACAGGCTTGAGGAAGCGTGGCTGAAAAGCTGTCCAGTGGAAAAGGACCTGGGGGTCCTGACTGACAACCAGCTGAAGATGAGCCAGCAGTGTGCCCAGGTAGCCAAGGTCGACAGCCTCCTGGCTTGTATAGAAACAGTGTGGTCAGCAAGACTAGGGAAGGGATCATCCCCCTGGTACTCAGCACTGGTGAGGCCACACCTCAAGTACTGTGCTCAGTTTTGGGCTCCTCACTACAAGAAGGACATTGAGGTGCTCAAGCATGTTTAAAGAAGGGCAATGCATCTGGCGAAGGGTCTAGAGCATGAGTCTTATGAGGGCCAGCTGAGGGAACTGGGGTTGTTTAGCCTAAGAAAAGGAGGCTCAGGGGAGACCTTATCCCCCTCTACAAGTACCTGGAAACGGGTTGTAGAGAAGTGGGTGCCAGTCTTTTCTCACAAGTAATAAATGATAAAACAAGAGGAAGTGGCTTCAAGTTGCACCCAGGGAAGTTTGGGTTAGATATTACGAAAAACTTCTTCACAGAAGGGGTTATCAAACACTGGAACAGGCTGCCCAGTGAGGTGGTTGAATCACCATCCGTGGATGCATATAAAAGTCATATTGCTGAGGGACATGGTTTTGCAGTCGACTTGGCAGTGTTAGGTAATGGCTGGACTCAATGATCTCAAATGTCTACTCTAACCTAAACAATTCTATGATTCTGTGATGATGTTAATGTTCTATGCTTAATTTACTCTTTTTATTGTTACTGAAGAGAGATGTACCTGAGTCATTAATATTTATGAACAGATACTGCAGAAAGAAAAATGAAACTACTAAGAAGTACTCAAGTAAGAGTAGTACTTGGAATAATTTTTTTAAATTCATTAAAATATAAATCCTTCCTTTCATTTAGAGATCCAGGGCCATGACATAACAGCTGCTTACAGCAAAATAAAAAGCAGTTTATGGTGCATCTGAAAACTACTACTGCCAGCAGTAGGTCATACAATATAGTATGAGCACAAAATAGGTATGAACAAAACTACCTTCTCCTGCCCAGCATCATTCTCATCTCCATGTTTCTCTTCCACTCTGTCTTGTTTCAAAGCTTTCAAAAATTCACTCTTCTTGTCAGTCCGAATTCTTGACGATTTTACTAAACGAGGCTGTTCGGCTTTGTCAACAGGAGATGAGGAATTTGACCGATGACACTAATTTTGGGAGTGAGAAAAAGAAGGAATATCAAGTTTATTCATTTAGAAAACTTTGAAAGACAAAAAACCACCCTGGCACCTGTAGCTTCAGCTTTCACATATACCTACAGTCAAAAGCAGAGAGGAGCTCTGCTTTGTATTTCAGTATGTATAGTTCTCACATGAAACCCAGAGACGCATGTTTATGGAGCACTGCTAACAAGCAGCGGACCTTCTGAAGTGTATCATGCCCTATGCAGTTTTCGTTCAAACGATCAGGTTATACTTCCTAATGCACCATTTTTACTCCAAATCAAACGTACAAAGAAAACTGTGCAGGGAGTTCAGTGATGTTTCTTCCATTTTTCTCATGCACTAACTTCCAAAATACTTATTTAATACAATTATGCATAAAACTTAATGATCCCTTTATCTAACCAAATTGGACATTTTATAGATTTGATAAAAACTACAAATATAGCTTTACCTCTTTCACTGACTTCTGTGACACATTAATTGCCTTGGCAGTTGATTTGAAAGGACTGAAATTGCGAACACCATACGCAGATTTGAGAGGAAATGGATTCCCACATTTACTTCCTTTCGCTTGGCTTTTCCACTGTGTAGACTAAACAACATTTTAAACAGAAATTTAAAGAGTCATGAACTACAGAATTACTTTCATGAACCTTCAGAGAAATTACTATGTATAAGGAAATCAAAGCACGTTCAGAATTACAACACGATTTTTTTTTCAGCATGCTGTTCATGCCACTGGTATCCACGACTCACCTTTGCTGGTGGAGTGACAGGCTTAGGGAATAACGTTCTGTAAATACTTGTGGCAGTTCCATTCCTTACTGGCTGTGAAGGAAGACTTCCTGAGACTGGGAACCTGGCTGTCTGCAGTCCTTTTGAGCTGCTCGTTTTCATGGCCAGCATTCTCGGAGATGTAGGCTTAGTGTGCAAAGGGTAATCTGGAAAAGAAAGGAGTATATATTTGTGTGTGCATGTGCATACAATCTTAAGTTTCTAGTTCAGAAGGTACTGCATATCCATATGGTTTGGAGCAAAGAGGCATAAATCAGGAACTTAGTCCAGTATTAGTTTCACAAATGACACAAGCACACATTCCGTTTCATTTTCTACTTGGCAATACAGGAATTTTACTTTCCCTAAATATTCTTTAAAGAAGCCAGCTACAGAGCTAAAAAAGCTACAGCTTTTGTTTGCAAACATAAAATCAAAACGTATTAGTTCCTTATGGTTAACCAACCTAGTCTTTGAAATGGATTCTTGTTTTTGCATTTTCCTTTAAGGTTACTAAAAGAATTCTCTTAAATATTTATCACATTTATAAAGTTATTTATCAAGTAACTGACATTGAACAGTTTTAAAGAGCATCTCTTAAAAACAGTTCTGAAGTTTTCAAAAAGCGAAAAATGTATTTTATTTTTACACACATGCATTCCAGTGGAGTATTAACTGTCTTTTCCAAGATTATCTTCTCTCCCTGTAAGCATTTCTATTTCACAGGCAGAGTCACCATACCCTACATTTCAAAAAAACTACTTTGAAAGTGTGACTTTAGCTTCGTTTACCAGGTAAATGTTACAAAACATTTGTGATAACTGTATATTTAGCTCTCATTAAACTTTATGAAAAGACTGTGTGGCATTGAGTGCACCCTCAGCAAGTTTGCTGACGACACCGAGCTGTGTGGTGCAGCTGGCACGCTGGAGGGAAGGGAGGCCATCCAGAGGGACCTGGACAGGCT